CTCCTGTATGCTTTTGTCAGGCTGTCTCACGCTTTCCCATTCACAGCTAACAAACCCCTGGGTTAATGTAGGCATGCCTCCCTGCTATCTGACCTGAAACATAACTAGGACAACTTCATAATGATGTTATTTTTATCACTCTTTAATTATTCACCTCCTATCTTTCTTGTTCAAAAGAAAGTCTCTGCTGGATGTGATTCTTATACCTTTGCCCTTCAAAATGGCTGCATGACTCTCCACTAATAAGATTACATGTAACATCCAAAGCAACTCACACATATTAAAGGTCTCCTATTATACTGTTTTTCATCAATATATTATAGGTCTCAGATATATACAAACATGTCTCTGAAGTGTTTGGCTCCAAACACCAAACAGATCCTTGCAGCACATGCACTGCATAGGTGACCTTTAAGTTTTTGTGGGCAGTCCCCAAAGGAGCAATTTTAAGTGTCTCACGAAAGGACACAACAACTGATGGCCAGTCCCGATGGTTGAAGATGTGTAACATTTTAAAGTTGGAATGAGGTTTCTGAGGGAAAGTATAAGATTTTTCAAGTCTGAAGAGTTTCTCCATTGGCTTCCAGTTAAAAATATGATGAATTATGGGATGTGTCTCTGGAATTATGAATGTCGATTCCCGACCGAGCTGAACGTTTTGATGTTTGAACGGAGTTTCTGCGATGTTTAATGTGGGAGAAGAAGCAGCGCAAAATAACCCGGCGGAATAATAATGAATTTCGTGCAAAATAAAATAAATAAATAAAAAAATAAAGTAATTAAATTAAATTAAATAAAAAAATAGTGCAGTGCCTTTAATGTTTTTCTCTGAAACGTTGACTAACAAGTCCAAAGTGCACAGATTGACACTAAACCAGTGTTCTTCTTTATTACATTTCTCTGTGCACGCTATTTTTCAGAACATGTACAAGTTATACTTTTAAAAAGTGGTGGAGACACAATTGGCCATTGCAAAAGAGGCCTATTCTATGATTATGTCACCATCTGTCATGCAGCTGTTTGTTGGTGTTTCATTTTAACTGGTGAAAGACCATTTGCACCTGAGCGCACATTTCAGTTTGGCTCCAGCCAACCACAGAGCTGCAAAAGCTGAGAAAACAGACTACACTGACCCCCCCCCCGCCCCCTCTCTCTGGTCCTTCAGTCTGGTTTTGGGGAGATCTCTCTTGGAGCTGTAGAGGAGAGGTCGACCGTCTCTCTCCTCCAGCAGTTTTTCTGCAGCCTCCAGTCGCCTCATCATGGATTTTGGGACTAAAAGAGTCGCTGGGATTATCGCTCAGGTCGCCCTGCTCCTCTGCAGCTCGTCCGGGACACACGGGGCAGGTGAGCAGGCTGCGCGCTTTCTACTTTCCCCGGGGGAGAGGGAGCGAGTCTGGGCAGCGCGGACCCGGAGGAGAGGCTCTCAACTGGGGCTTCATGTCTCTGTCATACCGCCTGGAGTAGTAAAAGACTCATTGATATGTCGGCTGATTGTCTCGTAATGTTAATTTGGGTGAAGTAGATTTGATTCTCTAGGTTTTGAGATGGTGTGAGTCGCGGTTACGCGTCAGTACTTGGTTAAAAGAAGAAGGAGAAATAAGGACATTTGAATAATGACTGCTTGATTGTCAGTCATTTACGAGAAAGTAGTGAGTTTTATCAGTGGACTGGACTTGCTTTGTGATTTAGGATTTTGGTTTCCCGCCTTACCTTTGCCGCATTTTAATGAGCATGTTCATTTACTCCCATGGTTACAATGATCATAAGCCATTCGCCATTTGTCACCCAAATGTGTCAGAAGCCAGTTCAACCAGCGTGTGCGTAAAACATCAGTGTCGCTTTGTTTTCTGGTTCATTTGGTGCTCAGAGCAGCATGGTGGGAATCCTGGGACTGAGCCACGGCTGTGCTCACACACTCCAGAGAGCTGCCACATTATGAGGATGTGTGTAAGTGTGAGAGTAGTAGCCTTTGCAGGTGGTTGGAGGGCAGAATAAGATTTAGAGGTCTGCTGTTTGAGTATCTGTGAAGGAAAACATTAATGAGAAAGGTCTTGTTTGTCCTGCCTGCGTTAATTCAATTAGTAAAAAGGAAGTTTATTCTGCTGTGAAACACAAATAATTCCAAACACAGAGATGGAGAGAAACCCGAAAGGAAAATATGATGGAGATGAATCTCAGGATGAGACCTGATACCTGAATGAGATTAAAGCAGGTGGCTGTGAGACCCTTTTGTTCTCCTCTTTTACAACATATTGCCACCTGATCCTCTCTTTGATTCATCTGTTCTGTATTTGACTAAATATATTTTGTGTTTTGTTTTAGCTTTTCTGCCTTTTCTTAGCAATAAAGCAATGTAATAAGCCCGTTCTGCCTTCCTTTGAGTTTAAATCTGCCTCGTACCCATCCATGTACTCTATGACACTCTGTCTCCTACACATCATTATGAAAAGTCCTAAACTCAGTAGCGATGATTATGGTGAGCTGGAAAGGCAGTCGGCTGTAAAACAGGAGAGGAGGAGAATGAATTTAAAACAGATTCATATCCTTTGTCCCTGAAAGAAACATCGACAGCTTCACCAAAGTATCCACATCTCTTCATCTCTTCTCCTCCTGCTGCTTCTCTTCTCTTTTTGTGTCTGTTTCTGATCTCCTGCTGCCCTCTCCTTCCTGACGCATCTTTCTGCTCGTTCCTCTTTGCTTTCTGTGCTCTTTTCCTGCCCTTTTGTCTTGCCAACAATTCCTCTCTTTCTCATTCTGTTTCCAGGCCTGCTTCCTCTTCCCCTCTCACCTCCACCTGGATCTCTGCCCTCCCGCTGAATCAGAGAGCTGCTGCTGTGTCGCTGGCTCTTTCCTCCCTCAGTCTTCCTCTCCCCCCCTCCTGCATGTTTTCCTGTTTCTTGGCTTCGTCTCCTCCTTTATCTCCCCTCCTGCTCTTTTCCTTTCTATCTTCTTGTGATTTCTGTCATCACCTCCTTCTGTGTAGGTGTAGGAGTCTGTGTTCACACTTAAGTGGATTTCAAGACCCAAAGCAATGCCAACACTTCCCTTTCCCCTCTTCCTTTATCCTTGTCTCGATGAAACAGCATTTACACCACAATGGGGCACTAAAACGCTCCACTAACGGCCCGTCTACACTACAGGCATCAAAAAATGCTTTCAACGCTTCGCCCAATTCACTTGAATGGGGTGACTAATCTTCGCCGAACTGCATTGTGGGGAGCATGGCATGGCTTTGCAAGCATCACGAGCATCTATCGAACATTGTTCAACTTTTGAGGCTCGATGCTTTGGCATCAGCCAATCAAATCCCGTTTATGCAAATCCCGCCAGTGCAAGCGCAGCCAATCAAACCGCGTGCAAGCTGGGAGAGCCAGACCGCAGTTCATTTCCTCATATTCCAAACGAGATATTACGGTAGCAAATCACCCGGTTCTTTACGACCAGAACTATTTACCGGGATACAAACCGGAGAAACCAGGCATGGAGGGAGGTGGCAGAGACAGTGGGTGAAACTGGTAGGTTTTTCGCCTGTTTGGAGAGTTTATATCCAGTTTACTTCGTTTTAACATTGCTATTGCTTTGTATGTCGGGGGCGGGAGATTCATGTGATTGGTTGTTGGTCGCGTTGCTCGCAAAAAAATCGCCAAAGCTTCAGACACGCCCAGCTCTCAAGATTTTTTGATGCCTGTAGTGTAGACGGGCAGTTTAGAGTCGGACTGCATTTGACATTGTTTGCAGCTTTTCAAGCAGGTTTTTACCAAACACATATCCAGTGATTTGTGTGCATGTCTTTCCTGCACGTTTTGGTCATAAGAAGCAGCGCGATTTATATTAGAGGTGGGCAAGGTGTAACTTTGGTTCCGAGAAGTGGGGGGGACACAAAGCAGGGGAATCCTCCGCAATGAAGCATTGTTCTCGATTTATTCCATGTCCTTGCCTTTCTACAAATATATTAGGGACTATGTGTTAACTATCAAGAAAAATGTGTAGTGGTATATAATGAGTGCAGGAAAATATCTAGTATCCTCATGTGACCTCCTATCCATAGTGACCTAGTTTTATTTGGTGATGGACCCTCACATCTTCTGCTGGGGTCCGGGGGCATGCCCCCGGGGAAGATGTTGTTTCTTAAATTGAAGGTATAGGCATTCAATCTGGTGCACCAAATTAAGAGACTGTCATGGCATAACCAGCTCTCAACTCTATATGAAAACAGAACTGTTATATATTTCAATACTCCACAAACCATTAGAAATATGTTGAATAGAGGTCCTCTCTCCTACTTTACCTTTACCTTAGTCGTCTGCATCTTTCTTTGTTATTTATGCATATGTTTTGACTAATCAACTCCCCTTTGTCTAGAACATGGTGTCTTTTACATTTCTTTACTGGACATTGGAATGATTTAACTATTTTGTAGCAACTATATTCAATGGCCATTTTGATCACTTAAATGTCGCATTCGTTGAGACTCACTGTGTTCGACTTGGACTAAAGTTTACAATCTAAGCGCTCGTGCCACATCAGACTCTCCTCCGTTGACGATGAGCGGCTTGAGTAAAAAATAATTAATTATCGGCCATGGAGGTGGGACACTTACTTGATATATTTAATTTAACATAGCTTTGTTTTTATTGTTTCTCCATTAGTTGCATCATTTCTATAATTTTTCTCTTTCTCCGCATGTTCCATTTGCTTCCCTTTCTCTCTCTGCTCTAGTCTATCATCTCTGTTAATCTCAGCCTGGACCCATGCCACCCATCATGCACGGACCATAAACCACAGCAGTGTAATAAGTTAAGACTGCAGATGTGAGAGACATCCCAGCCGCAGGGTTTTCAGACTGAGTTCACATCTCGCTTCCCCCACCTGCAGACAGCTCACTGTTCGTTATGGAGGGTGTGGTAATGACAACAAAGTGCAAATCATATTTTTAAGCCACAGATGGCGCTCCCATCACTTGTTAGCCGGAGAGGAATGCTGGGAGGTTTATGGATGAGATGCAAGGAAGTCAGGTGCGTGGAAACAGATACCCACAGGGACGGTAAAGTCACTGTGCGTTTAATCGCCTTCTGATATAACAGCCAGATACTGTCACCGTCGGTTTTGAAATGGCTTTCTGCATAAAGATAGTGAAATTAAAGCAGAATGGTGCTCAGGGGACCCATTAAATGTAACTGAACGGNTATGGCAAAAATCATAATCTCGATTATTTGGGTCAATAATTGATATCACGATAATTAAAAAAGATTATCCATTTACTTTGAAAACATCCATTTATTGAAAAAAAAAATGTGAACAGTATGTTTTTAACAGTTGATTACCCTGAACTTTAAGTATAATTCAACTGAAAAACCAATATAAATTATTGTTTTATTTCGATTACGTTGTTTTCGTAATCGTTGCAAGCCAAAATCGTAATTGCGATTAAAATATGATTTTAATTTAGCAGCCCTAGTGTACGCCCTAAACGATCATAGCCCCACCTCTCCTGCTCACCCCCGCGTCACACGGGTCATTGCTGATGCGTTTCTCGGGGGGGCTTCGTCGCTGCTTTTGGTGTATTTTGTGGCGGAAGTACAGCGCCACTTACAGGCCCGGCATATGTACTACAGCGGGTCGAGCGGTCCCGTGTGAACGGACACGTTTCTTGAGCCGATTCCGTGTGGACGGAAAACTTTTTTGATATCGACATCGGTTCATTTTCGTCTCCGTTTGGACGGGGCCTAATACAAATGTAAGCTTTTGAAGCATTAATCCTTATCTTATGCACTTAAGTAGATTTTAATTGGCCTGTCAGAATTGTGGCAGCAAGCTCTATAAGGCTTTCTCCATTGTCTTCATAAAAAACAACAAAGGACCACCTTTTTAATGGAAAAAATCTAATGCTTCATAGAAACACCCACATTGAACATTACAACAATTAAATAGCAGCAGCAGTTTTTAAATGTGAAAGAACATTACGCATCTTACGTATTGAAAACAAACTTTATTCATCAGATAAGACGACATTTGGATAGTTATTACTTCAAGAAATTACACGAATAAGTTTGAGAGAAGCTTATATTAAAGTACATTCCTTTTTCAGACACTTTGCCACTTACACCACAATGGGAGAAGTTAGTTTGGGTTCAGTTTGGGTTAGTCTTTTATTAAATACTACAAAACCCTGCTAGGGAAGTATTTCAAACTGTTACTGAAAGCCCCTGTTCCTCTGTAGATATCATGCTCACTAAAGCACCTCTAGTCTTGGCCTGCAGACTGTGCTGTTTTTACATTCAACATGTTTAGGATAAGCAAGGAAACAATGCACCGCCAGATTTCGACATTTATTTCGACCTGATATAATCACAGTGCACACAAAGAAGTCACAAAATGTCCCAGCCAAGTGATGACAGCTTTACTCATGTGAACGCTGGCCCCCCCCCCCTGTGCCACGCTGAGTCCAGGCAGCGGTGTTTTTTCCTGGGGAGAGTTGGCAAGTTCCCCCTTCCTCCCCCTCAACCACACCGACAGCAGACCTCCTTGTGGAGAGAGAGTTCAGAGAGAGTCACTGCAGATCACAGACTCCCTCTCGTCTCTCTGCAGGACAGAGCAGCATCTGCAGCTCCACAAACATCTTAAATAACGGCTTTAAATGATCACATTTGGGCCAAAGAGTCAGAGGTCCTGATGGAGCCATTTTCTGCCCACTTATAGCTTCTTTGAGTAGCTATGCGTGATCAGAAAGAAGCTCACCTTGACTTACTTAGCTTTGTGGAGCCTGCAGATGCTACAACACAACCTAATTGCCTGTATTTGAGCAGCAGCACGGGGCCAGCTATGAGCTTAAATGGCATTTCTGATGGCAACATATACTATAAACATTTAAAAAAAAGTTAACATACAGGAAATGAGTCTACATCAGAGTCCTGCATCGGGTCGGGTATCCGCGGGTACCCGACGGGTGACCCGCAAAATAGGTGATTTGCGGGTGGTATTTTTTCAAACACTTTTTTCCGGGTTCGGTTCTGGGTAAAACAAAGATGATGCGGGTCGGGTTGCGGGTGTTGCATAATAAATATATTTAAATAATAATAATTTAGTTTAATGTTTAAATCCTCAGACCTCTCCCCCGCGGGACCGAGCATAATCATAACCTCTGCAGCGCATCTATCTGCTGCTGAGCGCGCCACATTCTGAATGGCTGAGGTGAAGCTCTCTAGCGGAGAATACAGCATTTTCAATAACTCTTCCTCAAGAGCGAAATCCAACGTCTGGGAGGTTTTTGGTGTCATCCTAACATCCCACGCTTTTTGAGCCAAATATGCAACTGCGTGTGTTAATAATTGCACGTTTTCACTGCTCATATTTATGCGTGTTCGGGTCGGGTTGCGGATCTTGTGCCGGCGGGTCGGGTCGGGTTGCGGAACTAATTGGCAATATGTGCGGGTAGCGGGGCGGTTTGGTATTGCACGTCGCGGGTGCGGGGCGGGAGCGGGTCTTGAAAATCAGACCCGTGCAGGACTCTGGTCTACATCAGAAGTGCATTTGACAGTCAAGTCTTCAGAAGATGCTTTTATTATTTATTTTGATCCCTGATAGTCACGACCAAGGTATCAAATACTCTTCAATTCAACATCAAATCATTTTGTGAAATCAAATATGTTACTAAAACTCAAATGTGAGACTATTCCTTTTTAGTTTGATATCATATAAACCTATTTGGCTTTTCTGACAAACTTCCTCATCGATGAATCAAGAAAATATTTGGCTGATTAATATATAATTAAAATGTAATAGTATGGTTGCAGCCCTAAACTATATACTGTACCTAAACATGTGATATTGTGTTGCAAATCTTGTATGAAATCTGTCACTATTTTGGCTCCCACTATTAACCATGATTATGATTTGTATTGATTCGTAGTGCCCAGTCTGGTCCCTCAAATAACGCCCTGCCTTTTGGAAACTTGACAAATCACAGGTATTTGGTCTAAGAATATCCTGCAGTAAAGCAGACACTGTTATTGTGCTTATAAATGGAGCTCCAGTCAATCCTCACAGTCCCAGAAAGTCTCTAAATCCCAGATCAAATGCACGCTAAAAGACTTGATCTGACCATTAAAGTGTTATCGTATCGCAACTAAAGACCATTCATCTGAACAGAAAATATGTCGATGTTCTGCTCTCTTCCCCTCCAGTGGGAGTGGAGATGATTCCCTGGACGGCCTCCCGAACTGTGCCCCCCGCTGCCCTTTGACCCCGTCTCTGTCACCACGGAAACGGACCACCAGCCAGTCCAAATCGGAGCCTCCGCTGCTGAGGACGAACAAACGCACCATCTACACCGCCGGCAGACCCCCGTGGTACAACGTCACCGGGACCACCTTCAAGGAGGCCTTTGTTATTGGTGAGAGATCCAGCAACTGATAAATGCACCTGTTTTAGTGTTGATTCAGCGTTGTTGCTATGGTACCAGAGACAAGATTCAAAGGCTTTATTGCAATATGTAGGGATGGGTACGGAGCCCCGGTATTAAAGGGGCCCCGGGGCTACATGCATGCAACACACACACACACACGGCGGAGAGAACTAAGCGCTCCGAGGTGTGGTTAAACTTTACCCGTCTCGAGGTGGACAATGCTCGTTGCCAAAAGTGCAATAAGAGTTTACCATGTAAGGCCGGTAACACGAGCAATTTGTCCAAACATTTAGCAAAAGTGCTCCACATCCAGACGGAGTTCGACTGTCTTTCTAGAAGCTCTGTAGCCCCATCCACGAGTAACGTTTCCCCGTCAGGTGTTCTGTATACCTCAATCTTCCTCCAGAAGGACCGTTAGGCTCTTTGCAGCATACCTGTATGCCCCACCTGTGTTGTACCACTGTATTTGTGTTGCTGTATTTTTGCAGTAAATACTTGTTTGTTTTTTACATTTCTGTAAGTTCACATTATTTACCTTATTCTTCAGAACCGATAAGAGTACCGTTAAAGGACCGGATCGATAAGCGGTATCGATAAAAGTAGTAGTACCGTTAAATCCTTAACCATCCCTAGTAATATGCAGAGTTTCTACAATGAACACATGGCCAGGAAAATGTGAAGTCCCAGGCTCCTCCAATAATGCAACATAATATATAAGAGCTTAAAACAATACAATTGTGCAAGAAGAAACAGATTAGAATAAAATAGAGCAAGTGATGCAGATGAAGTAAACTGTATACATGTACAAAGAACAAGGTAAAAAAGAACAGAATGTAAAATGATATGTATTGAAGACATGTTTTGCATGCTATACGATAAGAGGTGTCGGAGAGTGCATAGCTGTTTGTATGTGAATATCTGACCCTTGATTCGGTTAATCATCAAAATGTGTTTTTCTTAGACGTTATCTTTAGCACTTAGTCTGCTATTGTCAATAGGACGCTGTGACTGGGTACCATTTCTCACTCGGCTGCACGTTAGTCGATACGGCTCCGGTTAAAAGGGCCAGGCTGGAGCGGAGGGAACTGACGGAGCAAGGAGGGGAAAAACAACTCTCTTTAAAGGTTAATGGGAGACGGAGAGGAAAAGAAATAGGTTTCAATGATTCTAGTTCTGTCAGGCTGAGAGAGGGTTTGTTACGGCTACTTTCTTTCTACTTTCTTTCTACTTTGCTTATAGAAAAGATAGTTGTATCTGCTTTAACAGTCCTGGCCTCACTGCTTGTTGACACAACATGTATGATTGTATTGTGTTTTTAGCACGTCTTTATTCGTATGATGTTTTAATGCTGTGTCAAGCACTTTGTGACTCTTGTGAAAAGCGCTTTTATAAATACATTTTACTTACTTACTTACAATTGGTCACTTATGCTGAATCAATAGAAACACAGTAACTAGTATCACTTTTCCAAGTTAGCGCCAGTATTTCTACAACCCGTCCGAGGCTCTATTCGTACGTAGAAATAAGGAGCGCTGCAGTGATTTACTTTACTCCGTTTCCCAGTCAGCAGTTTTGACCTCGATGAGTCTTATATGAGAAAAAAAAACATTCCCACACTTCACCGAGAGTTGTTTATACCTTTTTAGAAGTAGCTCCACACACACACACGCACACACACATGCAAACACACACACACACACACACACACGCACACACACATGCAAACACACACACACACACACAACACACACACACATGCAAACACCTTGCCAATCAACACACAAATACATTATAATTTAGCTATTCACCCAGCCTCGTCCCTTCCCTTCCTTTAGCTAGCAGCGGGACTGTAATCTCTCTATCTATCTATCTATCTATCTATCTATCTATCTATCTATCTATCTATCTATCTATCTATCTATCTAATGGTGTTCGAATGTCTCAGAGAAAGCTGTCACAGTCTTGGTCTCTGTGGGGTGTAATCTTTGCATCAATAACGCACATGTCATCAGCACTGTGGATGTGCATTCAGCCGTAGAGCAGAAAATAGTTGCTCTGCCTTAATCTTTAAAGACAACCTGATCAGTCTTTCTTCAGAATAATAAACATATAATCCAGGATACAAGCCACATAGTTGCACCTGCAAGGTGAATAGAGAACAACTGGTTAAAAAATAAATAAACTACAGAGTGTTTGAAAGCGTAACAGGTTTATGATATCACTGCCTCATCTAAGACACGAGTGGATCTGACTTTAATTACATTTGAGTTGAGTGTTTCGTCAACTTAATGTGTTGCTTAAAATAATACTTCTGCATACAGTGAGGATGCTTAGGGACGCTTANACACACACACACACACACACACACAATCACTCCCGCTCTCTCTCTCTTACATTGTATGACCGATAGTCATCTCTCTCTCGCCCTCACTAACACACACACACACACACACACACACACACACACACACACACACACACACACACACACACACACACACACCCCCCAACAAACAAACACACCACGTTGGCAGGAAATGGATCCAGTTTTGCTCTGGCCCGGTTCCCAGGACCGTTGTTCTGAAGGATGAATGTTGCGGTCTTCAACCCAGGAGGTCGTTTGAGGTGAAACCAGCTCCAGACTCAACTTTTTAGTTTTTTACATCGGTGGTTCCGGTGCCAGCAGTTTACTTGTTCAAGGTTCTTACTCCAGCACAAAGAACATTTACCTTGCCATTTTTTGTCTTACTGTCAAAGAGGTTATTTTACTCTTATTCAAAAAATATTTGTCTTTTTGATATACCTTCTGGTTCTTTGGTTACTGCTTATCTTACGGAAAGTACTTTGAATTGCCTTGTTGTTGTTAAAAGGTGCCAAACATACTGTATTAACTTTCATTGCCACGTGCTTTTAGGATTTGTCGATAACTAGATTAAAATCAGTTAATCTGCCTAAGTGATTACGTATTTTTCAAACTGCCCAAGCTCAAGCATATTCTGTTAAAGATTAAATATGTTTAAAAAAAACAATAATCCTCACAATTGAGAATCTTCAACAAAGTGTTTTCTTTACTCCTGAATTAAAGGGTAAGCTATTTGTGCTTTTGTTTTAAATAGGAGATTTGGACAAGCCTTTTGCTCCTATAGTATGATCAAATGTAGTTTCCATTCTTAAATATATGAAACTCTGACCCAGGGTTGTGGTTCTTTGTGTTTTCTTGCTGCAGGCCTGTGTGGAGGAAGTGCTTCGGGTAAAACCACGGTAGCCAATAAGATCATCGAAGCGCTGGACGTCCCCTGGGTGGTCCTGCTCTCCATGGACTCTTTCTACAAGGTATACAAGATTCAAGGCTTTTATAGAGTGCCGCAGTGACGAGTCCTAAAACCCAGACTCGCATTTCACCACTTCCTGTTCCCTCGTCTCAGAGCCAATGGGATCCCTCCATAGGATTTGGAAAATAGCTTGAAATAAGGTGTGTGGTTGAGACACATTGAAGAGACGGATCAAGTTTTGTTCTACGACATCAAACCCATCAGCAGTGACCCCACTGGTGATTTCTGAAGAGTTGAGGTGTCTGAAAAGTGATGGTTGTTACCAAGTGGCTGAATAGGACTACAGAAGTTGTCGAGGCCGTTGTACGTCATTACACCGAACACGTAAACACTCCTCTAAGTTTGTTTGCCCTGTTCTGCTTGAAAGCAAGTCCCTGCCTCCTGCAGACTGTTCAAACAAACGCTTCAACTCGTACCATTTAGAATCTGTATGTTTGAATATGGATCTGAAGTTGGCGTGACGTTGAAGTCGTGCTGCTGGACTCGGCTGTTATTCGTTTATAGCATAACGTTAGCATTTTGCTTCTGGACTTTAGATTTATGATTAGAAAATTATAAAAGTAGGGCAGACATGTGGAGATTATCCGGCTGAACAAAACAAAAGCTATTTTCCAGAATCCTACGGAGAAATCCCATTTGCTTTTTTGTCGAGGGAACCCATGCGCAGCTTAGGGTAAATACGTCATCCCTGCACCGCTCTATTGTCATGTGTACGTGGCTACAGTGTAGTTATGACAATGAACCTCTTCGGTCCCAGGCTCCTCCCACAGTGCAACACAATGAAAACCCTGTGAACATGATTACTGTGATTAAAAGCAGAAATAAGAGCTTTGATTAAAAGTGTTTTAACATTCAATTATAGAATCAATACATTTCAGATCACTTGCTCAGCATTTTGAAGCTTACACAACAATTAACTAGCTTTGATTTGAAAACAACAGCCTGTTAGGGAACATTCAATAATAACAAATGAAAAATCAAACTCGTCATCGGTCCTTAGTGATGATTTCAGCGTAATAAGTAAATGACCGATAACTGATTGAACCCAATATCAATATATATCAATTACACCCCCCCCCCTCCGTTTCCTGTGAGAACAGATGTCGATTGTTTCTGTACTCACATACTCCTACAGAGTCCATTGTGTCTGCATGTCTCTATATATATTAGACCTAGTTGTTGTAATCAATTAAACATTAGTGAGTTTTATTCTTAAAAAAAAACCTGAAGCTTAAAGGAGAGGTGTCATGGCCATGTCCACTGATCATAATTCCATTGTTGAGGTATACTAAAATAGAAAAATACTGTGCAATTTTCCAAACTCACATTGGTTTCTCATACAGCATCTCTGTAAAGTATGTGTATTCAGCA